ATTGCTGGATAGTATCCATTGTATGAATGTACTACTGGCTGTTTATCCATACTGTTATTAATGAACACCTGTTTTCCAACTATTATGAATAAAGCTGCTATGAATATTCACGTACATGTTTTTGGTAGGTATGTGTTTTCATTTCTCTTGAATAAATACCTAAGACTGGAATAGCTGGGTCGGAGAGGAGGTAGTCACTTAGTTTTATCAGTAACTGCCAGACTTTTCCCAAAACACGTGTACCATCTGTACTCCCACCAAGAATGGATGCCAGTCCAGTTTCTTCACATCCCTGCCAGCCTTCTGGTGGGTGTGTAGTGATAGCGCACTGAGGTTTTAATTTGTATGTTTCTACTGATTAATAATGTTAAATATTCGTTCATGTGCTTATTGGCTGTTTGTATATCTTCTTTTGTGAATTATCTAGTCAAGTAATTTACCCACTTTTATTCAGTTGTTGCCTTTATTTTTGAGCTGTACAAATTCTTTACATATACCAATTCAGATATATATTTTGTAAGTACTGTATTTTTTCCTGTGGCTTACCTGTTTTCTTGATGCCTTTTGATGAGTAGTTTTTAATTTTGATTTTAATTTGATCCACTTTTTTTTTTTTTTTACAATTTTTGCTGACTGCATCCTGAGAAACCTTTGCTTACCCCCATATCATGAGGATACGCTCTTGTGTTTTGTTTTAAAAGCATTATGTTTATAGTTTTTACGTGTAGGCCTATGATCCATCTTGAATTGATTTTTGTTTCCCTGGAATTTAAGATGCAAAACAAAAAACTCTTACAGCAATTCTGTTTTGATTTGATAGTTTTTAAATATAACTTGGCAGTCAGAGTTTGGTTTAAAATAAACTGACATGGTTAAGTGACTCATTGGACTGAGGCAGACATACTCATGATCTCGTGGGGGGTAGGGGGTCTAACTAGGGGAGGGACACACCAGCCATTACTAACTGATGGCCAGGTTCAGCCAGTCTTTTGGGGGAGAAATACTGTCAATATTGGGACTGGAACACTTTTTAAAATTGCTACTTAGCCATTTTAAAGATGCTTTAAGTTACTTAAATTTTGAGTTTAATAGTGCATGTGGATATAGTTATCTTACATTTGTGTCACAAAAACTTTTTAAAAATGATATAACGGGGAAGATACCTGGAGGGCAGTAATTGAGAATACCTATTAGTGATGAGCAGATAGATAACTCCCAAGTGGTTTGCAGAAAGTTCTGCTTTGATTATTATATAATTTCTTTATGAGACAAGCCAGTGTGTAGAGGAGAATTCTCTGATTACAATTCTTAAAAGATAAATGACTTAATTCCTTAAAGCTATGGAAAGGAATTAATTTTTAGGAAAGCGGAACAAAAATATATTAAGAATATGTGACTCAACTCTTTTTAAAATTAAAATTTGGCATATCCTTATATTCATTCCATTAAAAAAAAAACTTCCATAATGCTACAGTAAGTGTGAATTCATTTGTACCCATGAAGCGAAGGTATGAGTTAGCCAGAATGTTTCATTTGGGGTGCCAAAATGTGATCCCTATATTGAAAATATCTGTTTTCTTAGTAACTGGGTAAAACTTGAAGAATCATGAATTTCAGGAGGTAAACAGGAGAATGTTTAGAAATGCACTGAGCTTATGTCTGTCTGTAAGACATATCCACAGACATTCGCTGAAGACAAAATAGTATTTTTCCCAAAGGCTTTCATTCTGTTTGTGATTCTAGCATGTAATCTAAATTAAATTAGATATGTCAACTACTTTTGATCTTTAGTTAAAAAAAAAAATTCACTGCAGGCATAATTTCTTTGACCACATCTGCTTATTTTTGATATTATTAGTAACCTTTCACCCACAAAAAAAAAAGGAGGGGGCAAAATCCGTGAGCCAGACAGTTATAAGCCAGATGGTTCAAGAGAAAATAATAGGAGAAAATACTTGATTTGAATCCATCCTTAACTATTGAGCCATCACTAGATTCCTTGTTGGAAATGTGTATCTGTGCTCTGCCATCCTCTCCCTTGGAAAGAGCACATTAAATAGAGTCTGCTGATGGCTCGTCACAGCTGGTGACCTTTGTTTGCTGTCACTGCTCTATTGTGCTGTTCTGGAGAGCATAAGCTGGTCACCCAAAAGCCAGTTTGTGTCCAGAGTTATTTTGACAGGATATGTTCCTTCACACTAAAAGGCTGTCAGTTTCATCTGTAAAGGGGCAGTCAGACGTGTTCATCCTGGGTAGGGCTTGGCAGAGGGGCAGTGCACAGCAAATATTTGTTGACTTGAAATGAAAAGATTGCTTTATATCCATGAAACTGAAAAATGCAGGAAGGGCCCTATCAAAGTTTATGTCACCAGTAAGGAGGAAGGTTCTGTTCACAGGGTATTGATTGCAGTCCAGCCTAGAATGTGGAGTATGTAGAAAAGGCCAGTTGTGCCCCATCCCCTTTTTAACTCTGACCTACATGCCGGGAAAGGATCAGCATGGATCCTCATGGCTCTTGGGCTGCTGACCACCTGTTAGTATTTTGTTACTGCTGCTGTTTGCCTTTGGTTTTGGCAGCTGTCTCACCAGAAGTAGGCGTGAATAGTCTGGAAAAAGAAATTGGATCGATTTTGAAACTCTTTTGCAAGCTGTACTTACTCTTTAATAAAGCAGAAACTAGTCTCTCACTTAATACTTGGGAAATAACTTAAAAGGCACTTTCACATAAGCAGTGATTAAATTGAGAAGACTTAGTTTGTGGTGACACTCTTACCATCCTTCAGCATATAATTTCTCCTTTGATGTATTGGGTCGTCATGATGTATTTTTCTATGGTTTTCAGTGCAAAAATGCGTCATGACTTTGCCTACGACCCAATAAACATATATTCAGATTTTCACTACTAACATGGCCCCCTGATGAATACAGAGACAGAGGTATGTTAACTAGGGGGAAGTTTACTGAATGGTCATCTAAAAAGCATTTTGAGGGCTGAAGCAGTGTTGTAACACCAAGATCAATGGAAATGCTAGGCCTCAGGCCTCAGATAGCTATTTTAAAACAAATTATTTTCGTGGCTGTTTCTTTGCCTTAGTCAGGGACCCCCTTCTTAGTTTAGCAGTATGTCAGAAATACTTTAAAGACTGGCAGATGTTTGGTTAATAAAAACCATTCTTATCTTCTTTCATTGCTATTGTGCATGCTTACTGTGATTTCTTCATGGGGGCTTGGAATAAAAAAACTTCAGTATTTGGCAGAGCCTGATAATTTTAAACATTTTATCATTATAGCATGCACGAAAACATTAAATTTAAACAGTTCTTAAAGGAAAATGAATGGCTGTTGTCAGCCTGACATTTTGAGATTCTCAGTAGAGTCCGTCCTTATATTTCTAGTCTCACTTTTCTCTTGCTTTTCTTATATTGTTCATGTTGTCCCCTGTACCTGGAATGTCAAACACAGACTAGTCCATAATAAAAGCAGTGTTGAGGACTGGCGTAACGGTGTCCAGCTGAAGTGGAGAGCAGAACTTAGGAGCTCTGTTTCAGCCTCGTTCAGAGCTTCACCATTGGCCATAGTTCATTTGTTAATGGAAGGAATATTGTGGCATTTAAGCATGTTTGATAACAAATCATCAAAGTAAGGTTACACCTACTCATTTGCCAGAGACAAATTCTGTAACCTAGGCTGACCTATGGCCGTGTAGATGCTTTCTTGAGAATCTTGGACAATACGGATTGGCAGGCAACAATATTTGAAGTTTCCCAGGAGTGTCTGAGTATGACATATCGTGTAGTAAATGTAGAATACAGTATTGTATGCAGTTAGGACAGGTCAAATGGAATGAAACTCAGATGGGAATGGATGTAAGCTAATTGCAAACACGATACAGTTTTATTTACATTGATGGAGTCCTCTGATAGTAGATGCACTTAAGTTAGAAGTCCAGTACCATAACAGAGGAATAAATAGTTTGCATGTGATATAGATGGAATGGCAGCTAAATGAGGGGCAGAAAGAATCGCCTTTAGGACTGAGGGAGCAGCGAGACCAGCCACAGGGGCATGAGTGTGCTTGGTTTTTCCAGGAAGAGGAATTGTTCCTTTCTTGGGGCATGGTGGCTAGCAGAATGACAGACAGGGGGTCAGAGAGTGGAGAAGCCTGGTTCATACTGACAGCGTGCTTTCTTGGGAACACTGGGATCCCTTGAAGGATTTTGGGCAGAGAAATGGCAAGAGCATACCGGAAGCAAGCAAGCAACTGGAAAATGGACCAGCACAGTCTGGAAGACAAATCAGCTTAGAGGATATTGTAAATTTTCTGGCAGTAGAGATGCCAGTAGGGCAGAGGAGGTAAAAGGAAGAATGGATTTAAAGAGTTTTCAGAGATGGAAAGTAGGTGGAAATAAGATGGAGTCAAAAGTGAGTCTGGGAAAAATAACAAATGAGACTGTTTTTCACTGGGAGAAAAAGTGAGTTTGGGAAGGAAGACAGTGAGTTTGGTTTTGAATGAACTAAAATTGAGACACTGAAAACATCCAAGCAGAGAAGTCTATAGGCATTGGGGCATTTGAATATGATTCCTAGGAGAGAATTTGGGGCTAAGACTGGAAATTTGGGGGTCATTTGAATAAAGGTGAGGACCTTAAGATAGCAATTCCATGTCAAGATAAAGTTTTCTGATTAGGGTTATTTCTTTTAAAAATTATAATGCAGAAACTTGTGTATAATTATTTCAGATTTTGTAACTTGAATGTTACTGAATTTGTCTTAGATTTGTTTTGTTTGGGTTACAGTTTTCATTCCAGAGAAACTTAATCTTTAGACTTGTTTTGCCTGTATATTCATGATAGAAAAGGTTCTGTGATGCAAGCATTTTTGAGGTGGCTTTTAAAATTGTTCTGTTTTGCTAACTTAAAAGGGATTGTGAAAATACTAAACAGGCTGAGTTTGATATCAAGTGAGTTCCCAGCATAACCTCAATCGTGCATTGCTTTGCAGGCATATCTTTTTCTTGCATATCAAGGAGGCCCTCCTGGCTGGCCACCTCCAGTGCTCCCCAGAGCAGGCAATGGAGCTCAGCGCCCTCCTGGCCCAGACCAAGTTTGGAGACTACAATCAGAACACTGCCAAGTACAGCTACGAGGAGCTGTGTGCAAAGGAGCTCACCAGTGCCGCCTTGAACAGGTGTTTATACCCATAGATCGAGCAAATTTGAAAGAATTCCCAGAAGAAAATGAATCTGTGGTATATAGAGATCATTTGTGAGATGAGGACTAGGCCATTACTCCATTCAACCAGTGATTTTCAAAAGATTCTTAGCCTTTTCTTTGAGAAACTTACAAACATAACACATAATCCACACAAATAAATGCCCTTACATGAAATGCTATATAATAGGAATTTTAAAATCTCTAACCTTTTAAGAAGGCAGATCTCCTAAAATAAAAAGTCTATCATGTATCCTGGATTTTCTTCATCCCATTAAGGATTAAACCAAGAGATCTAACATAGGTGTCTTAGTTGTGGATTCGTCAGCAACGGGGTACCCCAAAACTTAGTGGCTTAAAACAACAAACATCTCCCAGTTCTGTGGGTCAGGAATCTGGCCCTGGCTTGCTGGGTTCTCAGGATCGCTCATTGAGGCCGCTGTCAAGCTGTTGGTAGAGTTCAGTCTCAGCCAAAGGTTCCACTGAGGAAGGGACTGCTTCCAGGCTGACTTCTGTGGCTTTTCGGCAGGCCTTGTTCCCTCACCACATGGGCCTTTCTGTGAAGCTGTCTCGTTACGTGGTAGCTGGCTTCACCCAGGACAAACCATCTAAGTCAGAGCAAGAGAGAACACCGAGATGGAAGTCAAAGTCTTTTTCTGACTTAATTTCAGAAGTGAGTGACACCCCATCACTCCTGCCATATTCTGTTCATTAGAAGCAAGTTATTCATCCAGCCCACACTCCAGTGAAAGACATCAAGGGTGAGAGCACCAGGAGGTGGGATCTTGAAGGACCCTTTTAGAGGCTATCTGCCACAATAGATAAAATAACTCCTGCATTTTTTCATAGAAATTACTTACGTGTAGTTTTAGAGATTTTCCATAATTCTTCCAAATCACCCTCTTCCAATATTTCCATTAGTTTTTACTACTGAATATTTAATAGTCAGGATCTTAAATGGTGTCTTCACAGTATTTTACAGTAAATTTGCTAAATAAATGCAACATCAATATAATGTATAGCTTTAAGTTCTTATAATTCATAAATGACAGTGTCAGTATAATTCGCTAGTGAAAATGATACCGACTAATCTCTGATGGCTGCACGAGTTAATCTCTTTGTCCACCTCTCTCTCTTTTTGGCGTCCTGCAGCATTGTCGCAAAGCATAAGGAGTTGGAGGGGACCAGTCAGGCTTCGGCTGAGTACCAAGTTTTGCAGATTGTGTCTGCAATGGAAAACTATGGCATAGAATGGCATTCTGTGCGGGACAGCGAAGGGCAGCGACTCCTCATTGGGGTTGGGCCTGAAGGAATCTCAATCTGTAAAGATGACTTCAGCCCAATTAATAGGTAACCCACGTTTTACATTTTTTCAGACCTAAATATGTGTATACTTCTGTAGCCTTGATCGTGAAAATAGAAAATGGAGCGGGACTTATTATACAGTCATCCTTTAGGAATAAAACTTTCATTTTGTTACATACATTCATTTTATTCAGGCTTTGATAACTGTTGATTATTTTTTAAAATATTAACTCAAGTGTATTGATGTGGCAGACTTAATATTTTTCAAATAAGTTCACTGCTATAAAAATCTCATCTTCACCTACACACACACACACACACACACACACACACACACACACACAAACACAAACACACATACACACTTAAAACTTGCTCCAACACTTCTCTCCACTGACTCACAGCTGCCTTCCAATATGCCATTATAACTGGGGAGCAAAATGCTTAAATGATAGCCCCAGGCTGAGCGTGATTTCCTGCTGAGTCATGAGCACATGAGAATCCTACAAGGCGCATGCACGGTGACAGCCTCTCCTCCTGGACTTGCTCACTTTTCTCTTCCCATCTTTCAGGATAGCTTACCCCGTAGTGCAGATGGCCACGCAGTCAGGAAAGAATGTGTACTTGACCGTCACCAAGGAGTCTGGGAACAGCATCGTGCTCTTGTTTAAGATGATCAGCACCAGGGCAGCCAGCGGGCTCTACCGGGCAATCACAGAGACGCATGCTTTCTACAGGCACGTACTGCTATTTACCCCGTAACCTTACCATCTGTCTACAGCTCCGAGGTTTTCAGGTGACAGTGAGGTTCCTACAGTCACTGGTATTGTTGGGTCAATGAATCCTGTACAGAATATAAGAAATCAGCTGCTTTTGATCATTTCATTTCTGCCGTAGCAATAGAGTTCTTATCAACGTTGTCCAGCTTTTCGCACAGAAAGTGTGTGTATATGAGCTGCACAGACACCTTCCCCTGCTTAGCTCTTCCCTACCTCCTCACAGCACCTCCGCTTCCGAGACAACTCAGGGTGGTTTCGCCTTTTGCCCTTTCTCAGTGGCATGACCTGAGTGGTCTTTCTTTTCTGGGAGAGCTGCTATCCTGAATCCTCACTACATCATCAGGACTTTTTAATAACAATTTGATACTCTTATGTCAGAAGATGCTTTAAAATAGAGTTGTGGTTTCACTCAAATATTGGGACTATTAAAACTAAGAAATTTAATTGGCAGGCAGTCTGAACCTTTTTAATGTTAAAATAGACACACAAGGCTAGAACCGCTGAATAAAGCCAATTAAATCTTAAAAAAATAAAATAGACGCACAAATTGTGGAGCAGGATGGAAAATTTGTAGAACATGTTTACATGAAGCCAAGACTTCAAAGAAAAATATCCTTTTTCTTGCCACCAGTTGCTTTGGACTATAGCTCACATCCCTGCAGGTGGAGGGACACATTCACTGTCCCCTACATTTAGAGCTGCTTTATCAGAGGTAGAATCACTGAAATCTTTAACATGTATAAAACTGGAAGAATTTGCTTTCAAGCTTGCAAATAAGAACATTAAATGTCTGCTGACACGAATATTCGTATTCATGTCTGCGTTTGACCGCCTGAATCACAGCAGTGCCAGGCTTGTCAGTACTGAGGTGGCTTTCACTCTCTCCCTGCAGGTGTGACACTGTGACCAGTGCCGTCATGATGCAGTATAGCCGAGACCTGAAGGGCCACTTGGCATCTCTGTTTCTGAATGAAAACATTAACCTCGGGAAGAAGTATGTCTTCGACATTAAGAGAACCTCGAAGGAGGTGTATGACCACGCCAGGAGGGCTCTGTACAATGCCGGCGTGGTAGACCTCGTCTCAAGAAGCGACCACAGCCCTCCCAACTCGCCTCTGAAGTCCTCCGAGAGCAGCCTGAATTGCAATAGCTGTGAGGGCCTCAGCTGCCAGCAGACCAGAGTGCTCCAGGAGAAGCTGCGCAAGCTAAAGGAAGCCATGCTGTGCATGGTGTGCTGCGAGATGGAGATCAACTCGGCCTTCTGTCCTTGCGGCCACACTGTGTGCTGTGAGGGCTGCGCTGCCCAGCTCCAGGTGAGGGGGTGTCAGCTGGCCTGCTTCTCCCTGGCAGCCTCACTTACCCTCCAGATCACAGTGAGTGAGTGCCTGCTCCAAGCCAGTGCTGGCTGACTAGCGCACAAACCAAGAGCGTCCCCTCCCCCTGGAGAGGGTCTTTGTGTTTGGTGACGTGAAAGGTATTGCCTATTGTTCTGTGGAAACACTTTGGATTAGAACACTATTTTCAACAATGTAATTACTCTAAACCATAGACTTTTTTTCAAGTGCTGGAAACAAGGCTCAGATTTACAAGGTAATGCACCTAGTTAGTGCCTGAGCGGGAGAGTAGAATCAGGCCTGCCGAGGGCTGGTCCACGGCCTCCTCTTCCACTTCATGTTACTTCCCCTTTGCTGACACTTATGAGGATGGTCTTTATTATTGCCTTAAAATATTTGGGAAAGAATACTTGGGGCTTTGGGTTATAGTTAACTCTCAGTTATCCATGGGTAGACTGTTTATTTTGCAATTATTTGTGATTAACTTCCTTTTATTACTCTGTATGCCTCTAGGGGCCCCTTGGATTGGCTCTTAGCAAGTCAAACTAATTTTAATATTAATACAAAAAAATAAAAACAACTCACCTATAGTATTTTTTTCCATTCTTGCACCTTACATTTCCTCCTATTTTTTTTTAATTTATTTTCATTTCCCAGAACTGTTGGCTAAATTTCACTATGGTTTCATGTAAAACTAGCCCTGAATAACATCTGGTCCTTCAGAAAGTGCTAATTTCAGAGCTATTTTCAGGGCTATGTAATGAGCCAGGATGCCTACGTCCTTCCTAAGAGTAGATCATGCTGCTATGACAAGTCATTTCCCCAGAGTGGTGGTCATGGGTTTGGGTTTTTCTGCCCACATAATTTGACCCTCATGCCTAAGGCTCCCTCCCCTTGTGGCTACAGAAGGGACGTGCTGGTTGAGAAGCCAGCCAGGGATGTGGAGCTGTGACCTGTGACTGTAGGAGCAGAGCCATACCCGCTGACCACATGGCATCGACCCTGTGATGCTGGCCTGAGTCAGCTAGCTGAGCCAGCGCAGTCTCTAGAAGGGCCTCCTGCAGCGCTGCCTGAGAGGTGCCCCCCCATGTAGGGACCACAGCCTCATTGTGCAGCAGGATGTCTTTGGGAATCAGTTTACCCATTGTGCCTTGTTAAAAGTTTGATAAAAAACATAATTAACTTCTTTACAGCTTATACTTCATAGTATTATTCATTTTTAATTCCTTTTAAAGTATAAACTTTCAAACCAGTTAGAAACCAAAGATCTCTACCAAGTAAAAGCTAGAAATAATTACGACCACAACTTATTTAGAAAATGGGATTAATGGGAACCACGGGTGAACACTGAAGACACAGATCCTCAAAGGTGTCCTCACAGGTGTTGTTGGCTTCTCTTCCAGTTATGTCCAGTCTGCCGGTCACGGGTGGAACACGTGCAGCACGTCTATCTTCCAACCCACACCAGTCTTCTCAATCTAACTGTCATCTGATCTGTCGTGCACTTACTGGACAGGTCGTTTTCATAACTGCACTATTATAAACTATGAAATGATAGATTGTGGAGAAAAATAAATACTCCAACACCCATCTGCCATGCAATGCTTGCAAAAGACAAAGGAAGAATAAAAAGAAGACGATACTTCTCACCACCAACACATGCCATCAGCCGCTCCCGTGGTGGGGACCAGGAAGACCTCGGGACACAGATATATTCCTCAGACTTTCCATTCTTTTTATGATCAAGTAAAGGAATAAGTAAAATCTCCAATGTCAGTTAAGTGGCAACATAGCCAAAAAATGGGTACCTTTTAAGCAGTGATGTTGTAAGTTTCCTTAATGTATCCCAAGGTAAGTTCTATTTGTAGCCAATTTTGCAAGAATTGGTTTTAAGAATTTACTTGGGTTTTGTTTGTTTGTTTGTTTTTTGGTATGGTCACAGAGCTCTGAACATTTTTAATAGGAACATTTTTCTTAGTCATCGTTTTATGTCATTTCTGAAGGCAAACAGATTTAAAATCAATTCTGTGACTTTTTAAAAAAAAAGTTGACCACAATGTCATTAGATTTAAACCAGTCTGGCTAGTGGAAAACAGACAGCTCGGCGTGGGCAGCCTCCTGTTCCTTTTCCCTACCCCTCTCCTGACACCCAAGCCTTTCGGTTATAAAATGCTACCCATTTGGTTAAAAGATTTCTGCAGAGTAGTCAGCACTCCTTGTGCCTCTTGAGTTGGTGGAATATTTTATTTTAAGATTGAAAAGGGAGCATATTTTGAGGGGAGGGGAGAGTGTTGCTCACTGAGATGAAGCTTCGTGGTGTCCCCAGGAGGGTGCTGCTTCAGTTCTCCCAAGCACTCGACTCCAGCTTCACCCAGTGGGGTTTCTTTTGCTTGAGCCATCAAGCGTTTTACAGCCTTATTATAGGTATCTAGCTGTTGTATGCTTTTTTTTTTTTTTTTGTAAATGCTTAAGTATTAACTTTTTGTCGTCCCCCTCTATATGTCTTAGAGGGGTTTCAGGTTTTTTGTTTCTGTATTTTTAATCATGTTTTCCACTCCCACTTGGGCATTTTGGACGCTGGTCAGCTGGTGGGTTTCTAGGACGTCCGGAAACCTAGATGACCTTATTGGGTGCAATACTAGCTAAGGTAAAGCTAGAAGCTACACTGTCACTTTCCTGAGGTTTCTGAGTATCCTTTTCATGTTGCCTTAATGTAGCAGTAACGTGCTTACGCATTTGTTTCTTTGCACAGACATTTTGTCAGATATTAGAACTCTACTTTTTTATGGCACATATTAGCATATAAGCCTTTATTCCAAGAGGTATTTATTTTTTCACTTGTAAAAAAGTAATGTTTCCACATAAAGAACTCTGTTATATCCAAGAGGACTTTTGTCTTTTATATTCAGGATAATAAAGACTTTAAAGCAAACACGGGTGTTTGTATCATGACAGTTATTGTTATTTAAGCTAGTTTAATTCATTTAAAAGAAAAGAGCATTTATAACATCATAGTTGGTATCTGATTTGGCCCTATTTGGAAAATCTGAAAATGTTTAAGGTATTGACCCTAACGGAGGAGAACATTCATTGACTTATTCACTCTTCTATGTTTTCTGGTTATACAATTAGAAAGTAGGTGAAAATAGGGTAATATATATAACCAGATGAAAAGTAAAAAATAGAGAAAGGACTGGAAGGGATTGGAGAAAGAAGAGGAATGGCAAAGTTGGAAAATAATTAAACGCAGACACTGCTGCTATTAATTGCCTGGTCAGAAGAGGTGAGCAGCTGTCTAGGTCCCAGCAGCAATGATCTCAGGCTACAGACCCCAGAACTCTATTTGATAGGACAACTCACCTTCTGCTGCTAGGACCTGACTGCTCTAAGCATGCCACTGTGTGCTAATTTGTGTTGTTCAGGAAATGCTGTGTGGAGGAGAGAGCACTGCACATAATACATGTAACTGATAATTACCTGTAGCAGTTGAAGGAAGTCATTTCAACTGCTATGAAAATCCACTTTAGTACAAGTACAATTATTTCAAGAAAATAATTTTTAAATAATTAAGAGACGGAGATTTGTTTTCTAATTACAGTTATGTGTTGCTTAACGACAGGAATGCGTTCTAAGAAATGTGTCGTTAGGCAGTTTTGTTGTGGGAATATCATAGAGTGCACTGACACAAACCTAGATGGTACAGCCTACTACACACCTTGGCTGTATGGTATAGACTATTGCTTGTAGGCTACAACCCTGTACAGCATGTTACTGTACTGAAGACTCTAGGCACTTGTAACAGAATGGTAAGTATTTGTGCATCTAAATAAATCTAAACAAAAAAGGTACAGTAAAAGTACAGTATAAAAGATAAAAAAAGGTACACCTGCACCGGACACATAACAAGAACAGAGCTTACAGGACTGGAAGTTGCTTTGGGTGTGTCAGTAAGTGGTGACTGACTGAATGTGAATGCCTATGACATTACTGTGCACTACTATAGATTTCATAAACACTGTCCACTTAAGTGACACTAAATTTATTTTAAAAATAGCATAGCCGCTCTGATATTACAATGGCTATGATGTCACTGGACAATAGGAAATTTTCAGCTCCATTAGAAACTTGTAGGACCACCATCATATATGTTGTCCATCATTAACCAAAGCGTCATGTCATGTGTGACTATATTCCTATACCCAAGTCAATCTTCCATCAATTTCTAGGAATTACCTCATTTGTTCATTCAACAAATTTATTGAAGTCACTAAGTTACTGAGTATTGGAAATTTAACAATGATTAAGACATGAATGATACAGGATACCTTTATCATGTACTTAGCCTGTAAAATACACTGTTCTCTCTATATGGAGAAGTTAAGTGATATTCAAAATCATAGAATATTAGCACTAGAGAATGTCTTAAGTGTGTTAGTCTCAAAATGCTAACTGGATAGATGGATGGATGGATGGATGACAGGCCAAAGAATTGATAAAATAACATTGTTCTCCCCACTAGACCATGGACTCCTCAAGCTCAGAGACTAACATGAAAATCATATTTCAAGGTGGTTTAATGGAACTCTAAGGAAAGTGCGATGGAGGCAGAAAACACGGGGATTAATTTTGGATTACGGACCAAAGGTAAGGGTGCTTCACACAGGAACTTTGAGCTGAGCCCTGACATTCTAGTTGGATTTTACCAGGTAGAAAAAAAAGCATATGGCACATGCAGGGCTAGAATGCAGCTTGGTGGGGCTGGACCATCATCCCCTGCTGTCAATGAAGTGATAAGAAATTAAGCTGTGAAGAAACATGGCTAGAACTACAGTCGTGGGGGACTTTGAATTTCAGGTTTACCTTGGACTTGATTCTCCACTACTGAAGGGACTTTTGGGACAGGAGAGAGGCACTCAGATCTGGTTCTTGCACAGAGGATTCCTACCACAGGAAAGGATAGACACGAGAGCAGGTAGAGAACAGACACAGGGAACTCAATTTTAATCATCTATCAACATGAAAAGAATGAGATCAAAAGACTTCAGAAGTACCATCCGTGAGACAAGTCATATAAAAATTCTGTTTCTAGCTTGGAATAGGTAGCCTTTAACAGAGAGACAAAGAGGAGCAAGCCATGGGAATTGGAAGGAAATTGAATGTGGTTTTGGCCACCATGCATTTGAGATACATGGTAACAGGCAAACCTGGAGTCAGATGAAAACGTTTTGGAACTTCCAGAGGATAAAAGTAAAGAGAAGCATTTGGTGACTGTCACATTTAATTGCTATTTGAAGACATAACAATATAAGAAGTCATCTATAGGAGAGTATTAAAGAGGGGAAAGAATAAAGCTGAAGGATGGAACCCTGAAATGACCTACATCTACAGTGGGTTGTGAGGTTATCAAGGAGTCTTGAGAAAGACCAAACAAAGGGATAAGAAAAATCAAGAAATTGAAGTCAGGATACCACTTCAAGTGGGCAGATCAGCTATGTCAGAGACTGTAGCAGAGTCAAACAGTTGGAATATCAAGAAAGGGCCATAAGACGTGGCACTATTAGGAGGTCCTAGGTTCTAAGAAAGTGAGTGCGTTATGAGAAGTGAGGGCACTACAAGGATGCCAGGTTATAGTGAGCTGAGTACACATGTGTGACAAGGATGTGGAAGCAATAAATGGGGGCCAACATGCTTTGGGTGGTGAGGCGGAGTAAATCAAGATGGTGCCATAAAAGGAATCAGGGCCATAAGAAGAATTGGGCTTTTGTAGTTTCAGTGGGAGGGCATGGATGGGCATAGACGAGAGAGCCATGGAGGGGGTGAGTCAAAAGGTGTAGCAGACTCTGAGCAACAGCGGTTCGAGTCCAGCCCGAGCTGAGCAGCCGCTGAGCTGCCAACAGGTAGCAGGATGGCTCAGCTGGGGGGAAAAAAAAGATGCTATAACCTACCCTGACAATAGGGGACACTAGAAACTAGCCATATAATTTCTTGTCTTCAGCAAGTCTAAATAAAAAAAAAAAAAAGGTATAGCAGAGAGGAATAAATGAAGAGCCTGAACCTTTGGAACTCAAGAGACACTGAAGCCTCAAGAGGCTGTTCTGCCTAAAGGCACAGTTTATGAGGCTTGAACAAAGCATTCTTTCATCTTTTTATTAAAGGTTATGAAAATTAGTGCTAAAGCTAGGAATGAATGTTTTTTCCCACCCTACCCCATCCAAATATGGCTACTCTGTATCCCGCCACAGATGGGAATTCAAATGCAATGCAATGCTGGTAAATTCTGGGGGTTGTCTTCTTACCTTTGCCATTGGGCACTGAGAATCAGAAGGCCTTAGGTGACTCCTCTTGGGTAAAATATGAACTCTTCCAAGAAAAACTTGAGAAAGAAATACCCTGCAGAACAGAAATTTGGGCAAATTTCCAAACACAAGCATGAGGAAAGGGCATGTATGAGCCCTTCTAAGTATGCCTGAAGAAGGAGGGGTGCAAAGGATACTTGGGTGCTGAGAGAGCTGAGTCAGCCAGGAAGGCCAAAGTTTTTAATGTAGTTTTACCAAGCAATGGAAAAAGATGCCTAGATGGCATTTGACCACACTCAATTTAAGTCCAAAGGCAACCATTTCTGTCTTTCTCATTGCTTAATATTTAGTGCCTTCTCAAAGAAATCCTAAAACATTGCAAGTTACTTTTATTCATATTTGCAGAATCTCCTTGAAATGAATTTGTTTAAAAACTGCAAGGTATGAAAGAGTTAGCCCTGTGGTTTTTTAAAAACAAAACTATGTCAGGATCACACACATGACACAGATTTAACACAACTGCCTCTTGGCTTAAAGAAAAAATTCACTTCAAACTAAAGCTAAACATCTGTTGTTCATAAAGCTTGTGCTGATGGTAAGGGGAAGAAAAAACTGGAAGGTGTGAGTAAGCCTTATATCAAGGAGTGATTCTTCTAATTGAGAAGAATTCCTATACAAGTTTGTGAAACAAAAAAGTAGTTCTAAGGTCAAAAGCTATGTATATACGTATGTGTGTGGGTATATACGGGGGAGCCAAAAAAATGTATACAAGTGGACGCTTGGGTCAATGTTGCTCAAGCAGTAGTTCGCGTAATCAGAAGTGTCTGGACACTGATGGTAACCACTTTGATCACCTCTTGTAATTGCAGAAGTCAAACGTGACTTGTATTCATCTTTTGTTTTTGGTATATATTGGGTTGTCGGAAAAGTCATGGTGCATTTTTGCAACGAAAACAGAAAAAAATACATCATGACTATTCCGACAGCCCAATATTATTACAATTTTAATACAGGTTTCCTTTCTTAAAATGTGTGTACATTTTTTGGCACCCTCTGTAGATACATGTATTACATATACATTCCAGGTAATACCATATATAGTATATATGTATATATGTATTCGTGTCATTTTCCATCATAAACCCTATTCATAAATATTTAGGGAATGTGAAGTAAGGAGATCTCTGTGGATTGGGTGAATTGAGGAAGGCTTTCTGAAGTAGATAAGTACAGGGTTTGGATTGGAGGGGAGAAAACAAAGCATGAGAACATGAAGAGCCCACAGATGAGGAGCAAAGTGTATGAGAGAAAACACAGAAAGTAGAGCCAGTTCATAGAGAGACTTGACTGCTGGTATGAAGGTTTTAAGTTTGATTTGATGAGTGTGTGAGAGGTACTGTGAGGTCTTTCTTCATCTGTTGTTTCACTCGGTTTTTATTCATTAAGTTGGACATTGATTTATTAACCAGCAAATATTTATTAAGCACCTTGTACATATCAGGCTCTCTGGCAGGGTTAGAGCAGTGGTTCTCAACCAGGGGCAGTTTCCTTCCCCAGGAGGTGTGGGGCAAAGTCTGGAGACAGTTTTTAACTCACATTGAGGGTGGGGTGTTATTGTCATTTAGTGCATAGGGGCCAGGGATGATGTTAAACACCCTACAATGCACAAGACAGCCCCAAACAACATTTTCCAGCTCGAAGTGTCCCATTTTGCTGCTGGGCTAGAGGGTACAGATATCCAAGATGGAGTTCCTGCCCTCTCTGGATTGCCAGGGAAGTTGACGCTAAACTAATATTCCAGGCTACTCAACTCCGCAATGAAGCGGGTACTGGGTACTATGGAAGAGCAGAAGATGCCATTAGCTTTGCTTGGGGTTGGAAAGTTCTCTGGAAGCAAGTCACATCGGAGATGAGTCTAAAAAGACAAGTTGAAGCTTACCCAGATAGGAAAGGTGGGCAGAAGGAGAGTGTTCAAAAGGTGGCATATTTAGGACCAGTGGACAGTTTGGCATAATGAATACAGGGCATATGGTGGGATGGGTTAGGGTGGAATGCTGAGAGATGAAAATGGGAAGTTAGGTTGGGGCCAAATTCAGGAGGGTGCCATAGGCCCTGTCCATCTCTACCCCAGCTCCACTTGATAAGAAGGTCAGTGGCCACTTAGGTCATGACGGAATCGAAGTAGCTGGGCTCGGAAATTCTGCTCATGGCACTCTTGTCTGCAGATTTTATGTCTTCCTCTGGGCTCTGGTAAGCGTGTGTCCTCTGAGTTTTGAGTAAAGTTAATAGCAAAATAAAACCCTTGCTAATAACTTTCCCTAGAGATGGGAGCTGTCAGATAATCATTCATAATTTAAAAGCTCGTCTCAGTATTCCTTCAGATGAAGAAAACGGTAAGATAAAAATATAGCAGAGCTTATTAGTAATAGCTTACCCATTTTTTCCCTAAATGGTTAGAACATGCCTCTTTTCCCTGCTCTTTACATCAGCGGTTCTGTTATTAAAGCTATCTATTTTTCAGTTCTAAATCCTAGGAGGATTTTCCCCATGAATTTAACATGACTGAGGAAACTTGCTCCAGGGTAAAACTTTGCTGCAAATTATCTAACCGAGACGAGGCTTCTTAATAAAGAGACCAAAAATGAATCACGGCCTTTTTGTAGCTTCAGATGTGGAATTACCATTCTCTTTCACTTCCAATTTCATGATTATTTACAATGGAAATAATCCAGCTTTCTAAAATGATTGCATGCAACAAACGTCCTTTGTGTTCAAAACTGGAGGCTGTTGCTGATACAGGCCAGGAGAGGGTATGTATGAGAGAGTTAGGAGGTAGAGGAGAGAGAAAGAGGGGCAAAGCCTCCTATCTAAGCTTCTCCAGGTTGGGGGTGAGGAGGTGGGGTGGGGGGCATGTATGACAGCCCTAGAGCGAGGCAGAGTGTTCTCGAATGGCACTCAGGTTATCTGTTCAAGCCCAAGTCCCTATAAATGTATACCCGCGACTTACCTGGGTTTTAGTTATTATATAAGCACTACCAAAAGCAAATGAACCAATTATACTAGAAAAGTCAGCTTAGAACAGAATTATAAATCTTGCTGAGTGTCTCCTCTCCTACTTTCCTCCTCTTGCAGGAGATAGTATAAGGTATACACCCCTACACTCCATTTTGTGGGAACCATGAGCCTCACCCCATTTCAGTAATTGATTCTAGAAAGCTTTTCCAAAATTCTTCGTATCACTCCTATGTTTGAAAGCTCTTTTTCCTTTTGAGAAGAGGCCATGCTTCCCATCTCCCCTCTGTTTTTTAACCTAAATTTACACACAGTACTGTTAAAAAAGAAAGAAGAGCCTCAAAATGGAGTCATTTGTGCTGAGCCCTACATCAGCAAACTAGAATTTACACCAGTCAATCTGGAATTATCTGGTCAGCACTAGTGAGGTAATCTGCCTGATAAACCCATCCCCCTCTTCCCCAAAGCAGGGTGACCTTGCTTAAAATAATCCACCCTTCACTGGAAACTTTCTTTTTCCTGCCCCTTTTGCATATAAAAGCCTCCCATTCTGTACAGTTCCTCGGACTTCCTTTCTGTTTGCTAGATTGGATGCTGCCTAATTCGTGAATCATTGAATAACGCCAATTAAGCCTTCACATTTACTTAATTGAATTTTGTTTTATAACAGCACTTAAGAATCTTTGGTAACTGTCTCATAGCACGGGTGTTAATGAAAGTCCCGCCCTAGAAGCTAAGCTGTTCTATTGGCTTTATAGGAATTAACTCATTTCATCCTCATAACATGCCTGTGAAGTAGGTATTCTTTTTGGCCTCATTTATAGATGAGGCCTTGAAGCACAGAAATATG